GCTTTTTAATATGCTGTCTAGGTTGGTCATAACTTTCTTTTCAAGGAGCAAGCGTCTTTTAATTTCATGGCTGCAATCACCATCCGCATGACACCACTACATCAGGGATGACACAAGCCTTCAGTCTATAATTGACTTGAATTGTCCATCTACTGGACATGATGCAGTAGATCATGCCCACTCTCAACTCAGGAGGTGCATTCCTTCCACTCAAAGGGCCTGTAATCAATGTAAGAGATGCTCCTGTTACCTGCTTCAGCTTGTTGGAGCCCCACTAGGTGGACCACCCCCACCTGGCCTCCCTGCATGGTTAGGTTTCAGGGAGTTGGACACTCACCATTGGGTCCTGTGCGCAGTAAGATCCGAACTCAAACAGGGGGCTGGCCACCCTCAAAAAGATGGAAACCACTTATCTGAATAGAGTCAACATTTCCATTAATTTAGTAATGGCTCCAATGGTAAAGAACCCACCTGCCAATGCAGGAGATGCAAGAGATGCAAGTTCAATCCTTGTGTTGGGAAGATCCCCCAAATGAGGAAATGACGACGTACTCCAGTATTCTTGTCTGGGAAACCCCATGGACAGAGGAGACTGTAAGACTACTGTCCATGGGGTCGCAAAAGAGTCGGACGTGACTTAGAGACTAAAAAAACAACAAACTTGTTCAGTTAGGTTACTGAAAAGATGAGTGTAAACAGAATCTGGTTTTTAGCCATATATATTAAGGGAGTACATAAACCAAATCAACCCTTAAAGTTTGTCTGGATTGAGTATTTCACTTTACAATTTAAGTCACACTGATCTAGTTAAAGGCCATAGGCCTTATTATTATTTTCTGTTATTAGCCAAATTTTTGTTTGCTTGTGGTCTGATTCTTTCAGGTGTAGGCTTGTGTTAATTTGTAGGGTTGAGTTATTTATGTCATATTACAGTCTAGTCTATCCACTTTCTTTGTGTTTTCCTCTCAAGATGATCACCAATTCAAAATGAACTTAAACCCTAAGCCCAGGAGTGGGACAAAAGGAGTGAGAATGGGACTTGAGAGAATGGAAGGATCATCTCTTGGTATTTTGGCCCAGTTGTCCTAGACCCCAAAGGCAGACGGAAGCACTCAGCTCACAGGGGAGGGAAATAGGAAGATAACAAAGATAAAAACACCAACTCCACCCAAATGACTCAAATGAAGGCGCGTCTTGGAGTCTTTTTGTCTTTTTGTTTTCCTGAAACTCGAGGCCTGAACCTAGGAGAGCACTGTCCAGCTGCCTCTGCTCAGATGGGAGCTTCATATATCTCCAGAAAGTGGCTGACCCTTTCTCTTCTCTCTTTGGCTCTGTTTCCTTCTTTGCTGAGGGTCCTGATTTGTCAGAGCAGAAGGGAATTGCATCAGTCAATTTTGAATCAGACAAAACAAAACCAAAAGGACAGCCTTCCTTGGAAATGAAAAAATACTGGTGGGAATTTTTTTTTCCACCACTCCTGACTTACTAAGCAGCACTAAATATATTAGAGGAGAGTAGACAGGATTTCAGATATATGAAGGGGAGCAGCAATTTGAACCCTGAGTTGGGTGGGGCTTGAGTAGGAAAGCAAAGGTATGGATTCAGCCTCATGATCTCCCTCTCCCCCTGCAGGTGAGAAGAAGTGAAGAGACAGAAGCAGTGCAAGTATGAAGGTGTACATCTGCAGGAATGCCCCTGTACATGCCGCTACAATGAGTGAACAGAGAAGAGTCCAGGAGAGGAAAAGAAAAGGTGAGTGAAGTTGAACAAGAAAATACTCAGGTCAGTAATAGTGATCATAAGAACCATTAAGGGTAAGTGTGATAATAAGAACTATATGCTGCATTCATCCATTCAACATGCATTTGTTCACTGCTGCTCTGGGCCTGGCATGTTCTAGGGTCTGAGGATACAGCGGTAAATAAAATTAAGCCACTCCTTCAAGAAGTTCTAGAGTAATACATGTCAGGCAGGTAACATTCCTCATCTTATCTATTGACCCTGTGAAGTGATTACTGTTATCCCATCCTACAAATGATAAAACTGAAGCACAAAGAAGCTTTTATAATTTGGCCAAGTCTCACAGCTGAGCCAAAATTTGACCTCAGGTCCCTCTGACTCCAGAGCCCCTAGAGTGTTATATGCACCCTCCACTAGTGAATCCCCAGTGAAGCCCCACTGGCCCAGCTTCAGTGGTGAGAACTCATTGGAGTGACCATTTTCCCTCCTTGAACTTGATTCTATCCATCCATGGCAAAGGGGATGGATTCACTGATCTCTAAAGTCCCTTCCCGCTTATTTGGAAACATAGTCTATACTGATATCTTCCCTGCCCCCAAGTGCTTCTCATGGAGATGAGCGGGAGGAGCTCAGTGGATGTTCAAAAAGAGATGACAGCCCAGAGTAATGTTTCCCACACTGGGTTCCAAGGATTTCTTTCCCGGGATTCTGAAGTTTTCTATGAGAATTTGATGTTTGTGAAACAGATTCCTTGAGAGCCCGAGAGCCCTCAGTTCCAGAGAGAAGCAGTCCTGGAGTTGCCCTCTGAGGACCAGCAGAGGAGGGAAAATGATGGGGTGGAAGGAAGGATGCGGAGAAGGGTGTGCTGGACCTCGGGAAGCAGCCTGTCTGGGCAGTTACCTTTCTTCCTGGAGGTACAGGACTGGGGCAGTCCCAGCACAGCCCCTCCCTTCCCCTGCCTTCTTTAAATATGTGCAAGTCATGGGGGAGAGTGGCTCAAGAGGGAGGGGTTACAGGTATATTTAAAGCTGTTTCACAGCAAAAACCAACACAACTTTGTAAAGCAATTATCCTCCAATTAAAAAAAGACTCTCTCTCTAAAAAATACCAGCAAGTCCACATGCCCCTTGAAGCTGGGAGAGGTGAAAGGCAGTGGGGGGATGGGCGGGGGGCGGTCCAAGGCGGTTCAGGGTGCACCTAGAACTTTGAGGGTCAGGCTAGAGCATTTGAGGGGGGAGGGGCATGCCGCCAAATGGTCATGGGCACCCCAAAAAGGCGGGAGGGGTCCCAGCTCTTCCCCTTAACCCCAGCTCACCTCACCTGGCCAGTGAGGCGAGAATGTGAGCCCAGCTTGCCCAGGAGCTAAATGCAGCCCAGGTCCCCCTGATAAGCTTAGTCAACTTATTAAATTACACAGGAAAAATAGAGATGGAATATTAATTCCGCACACCTCTCCCCTCTGCCTGGGGAACCTGCCTTCTCTGGGTTTCACTTTTCAAAGCCTGAAATAGATATGGAGATTTTGTGCTTAATTAAAGGAGAGGGTGCTCACTTCAAGTCTTTTCAAAATCATTTTGGTTCTGAGCTCAGTGGAGCCAGTGAAGACCCAGTCACCATCTGGCAGGAAAGGTGTTAACTTGGAGTCTCCGGTCAATTCTAGACATCAGATTCAGAAACAAAGAGAATTAATTTCGGAGTCCCGCTTGGCCGGCCCCTCCTAGCTGGTAAGCCGAGAGCCTCTGTATTGACTTGCTAGGTATTAAAAAGTTAAGTCTGCTAGGTCACCTGCAACACAGAATGCCAGGTGCCAGAGCCCGCCCCACCAGGCAGGATTATCTTATCAGCCAGGCTGATAACACTCAGGAAAGCCTGGCCATAAGGAGCAAATATTTATAAGCCCAACACCTTTCAGTCCATAACAGATTAGGCACAGGATGGCAGCAAGCGCAGGCGGCTGAGTTAGCAATCAGCTCTGGGTTTCGGAGCCTGGTTCCCGATCCGAATCTTCCCATGCATGTTCGGCTCACGAAGAAGGCATGTTGATTACTGAACCGTGTAGGAGGTACTTTCCCACCTATTCCCTCACCAGACCCTCATGATAGCCTGGTGAGAGAGTTATTGTGTTACTCCCATTTTACTGTGGAAGAGACTGAGGTACAGAGAGGTTCACTGATTCACACTTTCACATTGCTAGCAAGTGGGACTTAAACTCAGGTTTTCTGGTTTCAGAACTTGTTTGTTTTCTAAGCTGCAGCAGTGGCCTTGACTGGTTCTCACTTGGCCATGCTTTAAATTCACAGCTCCCCAAGGAGCCCCTTGTGCCCCTTAATTCTCTGGTCACAAGCTTCTCTCACTTGGCAGATGAGGCCAACCAGAATCTGATGAAGAGGGAAAAGGAGATAGTGACCCCAGGGGAACAGTCACTAAAATAGCCCTGGCCCCAAAACACATACATCCCTGTGGGCTCTCCGAGGGCTTGGAATTCATTCCTTTGGGTCTCCTGGTCTTTTCTGTTTATTCATTCTCCCTGGGAGAGGTGATTAAATGATTAGATGCAAATGAATTAGAATGAGAGGTCATCCTTGGTGTCAGAGGAGGTGTCCCTGATTGGAGGGGTCACTGGTTCCCTCTGTGCTAGTGTGGAGGGAGGCTGGGGGGAACCTGGAGGAAGCCCCCTCCCTCTGGGTCTTGGGTTTCTTCTCTGCCAAAGGAGACTAAATGATCTTAGACATCCCTACTTCCTGAACCTCAGAAAAATCTCCTGGGATGAGGAGCTCCATAAACCCTTCTCTTTTCATCCTCAGCCAGGAGAGCAGGAGTATTCTGAGGAAGCAACTTCTAAACTGACTGCAGAAGAGGTGAGTAGCTGGGGTCAGGAAGCAGCCCATGCAGAGGCCTGGAGGTGAGTGCCAACATGCGTGTCTGAGCAACTGTGGTCCCAAAGCTTAGGTTACAAGCGGTTGAGAGATGAGGCTCAGAGATAAGCAGGACCCAGATTACAAAAATTCTTGTAAGACCATGTTAAAGAGTGTGGGCTTTATCCTAAGAGCAATAGGGAGCCAGAAAGGAGTTAAAGCAAAGAAGTGGCGTGACAGTAGGCATGTTTTAATACTTTCGCTCTGGAACAAATCTGGAGACTAGATTGGAGGGTGGGGAACAGAAGTAGGTGATGGGAAGAGGAAGGGCAGTGGGAGAGAGAGACCCCACCTGAACTTCTTTCTGCTTCCCACCCCCTTCCTCTGACCTAGGTTGGCCTGGTTATGATACCTGTATTTGCAAGAGTAATACTACTGGGCTTCCTAGGTGGCTCAGACAGTAAAGAATCTGCCTGCAATGTGGGCGACCCCAGTTTGATTCCTGAGTTGGGAAGATCCCCTGGAGATGGGAATGGCAACCCACTCCAGTATTCTTGCCTGGAGAATCCCCTGGACAGAGGAGGCTGGTGAGTTACAGTCCATCAACTTGCAAAGAGTCAGATATGACTGAGCAATAAACACTTTCACTTTTTCACTATTTATAGTTGCTTCCTTTGTGCCAGGCACTGTGTGGGGTGCTGTCTGTGCTTGTCTCATTTATGCCTCATGGTAACCCTACTAGGTAGGAATGCTTACCGGAATTTATGGATGAGAAAACTTGGGTCAGAGAGGCCAGGTGTCTCGCCCTGGGTCACACGGCTGGTAAATTGCCTCAGCACTACACAGGCAGAGATGTGGCTCATTGTTTTTAACCATGGGTGCCCTGCCCCCTGAGATGCCATCCCCACGGTTAGCCTGCACTTTCAGGGCAGGATGGAGCTCTGTTGGTCAGCTTCCTGCAGCAGAGGAGAATTGGAGTGGAGGTCCTAGTTAGCACAGATGTGATTGGCCGTGGGTCCCCTTTAAACAAGCTGTGTGGTGCATCTGGAGAGGGTGAGAGGTCTCTGGGAGCGTTTGGGATCCCATGGCTGGTTCGCCTTTTGGGTCAGAGGGGAAACAGAGCTGGGCCTGGGGCAGGTTGTGGTGCTGCAACCCCCCTCTCTATCCACCTCTCACATGAAGGGGCCTTTCAGAAGCCTTGGGGCTTCAGGAATCACTTCCCAATCCAGAGGGGAGCCAAGAAGTCACACTTGGCAGAAACTAGAGAATGCAGAGGGAGAATGGCTATTACTTCTTTCCCACACTGCCTTTTCTAGAGGGGGAATAGGACCCCAGGTCTGGGTCAGGGAGCTCTGAAGGGCACCACAAGGTGGTTAGCACAGGGGCAGTGCCCCCAAAGGCCAGGTAAAGTAGAAGGGTAGACTGACATCCCTGATTTGATTCCCCCCAAATCACTGGAGACCCCCAGTGAAATTCACCCACTTCTATCCCATGATACAGAACAAAGAGGTTACTTTGCTGAGAGCCAGGAGTGCAGGCTTCTGTGCTGGGCCCTGCCACATCAGGCTGGGTAACCTTGGAAAGGTCCTTCTCCTATTCCTTTTCCCCCACCGGATGGGGTGAGCCCTAAATGCCCCCTCTCCCAGCCCTGGAATCCAAGCCTCCAGGGTCTGGATGAGCCTGTGTGGTCCAAGCTGGCTGGCTTCACAGCCCTCTCCAGTCATGGCGGCCCATCCTCTCTCCCAGGGCCACCCTGGAGCCAGGCTAGAGAGCAAGCCAGAGGTTCTGCCCCTGCCCCATCCCCCCAAGCCCCCACTTCCCCACTCCCCGCTTACTCTAGGAGGACACCAGCCCTTCTGGGTTTGCTCTGTCAGTTGGATAGGGCTGGCTTGCACCTACAGAAGGGCACACTAATTTATTTTGCATCATTTTGCATTACCTGGCTCCTGGGCCTCCAGCTTGACATGCAGATTTATGTAAAAGAGACCCGACATGCAAATGAGCCAGGCCTGCCACTTGTTTTAATAACAGGCAGGGCCGCCTCACTGGCTCCTCTGGCCCAGCTGTTCTCCCCACAGCCCATGGATCTCTCAGGCCGAGGCCCGTCTCCCTGCTGCGATGCCTCTGCTCTGCTCTGCTCAGAGCTCAGGCCAGGCGGGAAGTCAACTTGACAGTGAGGTTAGAAAGAAGAAAGCTCAAACCCTGCTTCCCCAAGGAGTTTCCGGCTGTGACCTGTTAGGAGACAGTGGAGAGATAAAGACAAACACCCACAACCGACCAGAGAGAAAGAGGCCAACTGAGAGAAAGGTGCACCGGGACTCAGAGGGGCCAGGAGTCAGGGCTGCACACGAAAGAAGCGTGAACGGAGAGGGGTAGGCAGATGGACAAAGAGCAGGTGAAGCACAAAGTCAGAGAGGGGGAGAAGCAAAAAAAAAAAAAAAAAGCCAGCAGAGACAAGAGACAGGAGAGATGGGGACACAGGAGGGGGATGCTGATGGAGGGGGTGGACACCAAGAAAGGAACAGATTTCAGAGCTGCTGTGGAGGAAGAATAAGGATAGAGCAACAGCCGGGCTGCGGGGAAGAAAAGTGAGGGAGGAGTTGGCGATGATGACAGCTTGACGCTGGGGAGTGGGGGAAAGGAGTCACAGGCGGAAGTGACGGGGGAGACCCGTGGGGAGAGACAGGGGAGCTGCCCTGTGAGGAGCCCTGACAACAACTTGGCTGCCACAGGCAGGAGCCGCGCCACCACCTCGTAAACCGATTCATATCTGCCTAGATGTGTGTGGGCTTCCGTGCTAGCTCAGTAATCAAGAATCCACCTGCCAATGCAGGAGATGAGGGTTCCATCCCTGGGTTGGGAAGATCCCCTGGAGAAGGAGATGGCAACCCACTCCAGTATTCTTGCCTGGAGAATCCCATGGACAGAGGAGCCTGGTGGGCTATAGTCCATGCAGTCTCAAAGGAGTCAGACTAAGCAACAACAGCTATTAATACATGTATACTTACATATCTATAGAACACACTTATAAAGCACACGGATATGCAGTGTAGAAGAAAACATTCTACAGCCATGAGGCTCTAGAGAGGGAGCTTGAGGGGTTGGCTAGTGTGGCAGTAGTCGCTGTGTGTCTATCCTCACAGGACCCAGGGAGAATTCACAGCTGGTCACCCCAAACTTCCGACTGGAGAGCAGCCAACAGGCTGGTCCAGGCTGTTCCCTGCTCACCTGTCCCAGCCAGCCTCCCACTTCCTGTCCCCTGAATGCACTCAATTTGAGCAAGAAAGTAAGCAAGCAAACAAATCAAAACACAAAGAGAGAACCCTTGGTGCTCCCACAGCCTCTTCTGTAGGGAAATTGACATTGTGGGAGGAGGCAGCCGGCAGAGGCCCTGGGTGGCTGGTCTTGGAGCTCCTGCAGGGTAGCGTGGGAATACTCCCTCAACTTTTGGATATTCTCCACTTCTGCACTCCACCCCCATGAGAGCTCCAGGGAGGGGACAGAGGAGGCATTTCTTAAAACCTTAAGTGTCAACACTGATGGTGTCCTCAGAACCCCTCCAGCCCAACTTCATCATTTCACGGAAGAGGGCACCGTGACCCAGAAAGTTCCAGCAGCCTGGTTAGTGCGTAGTCCCCATAGTGTGGGGTTGGGCAAATGGACATTTTTTGTTAAACAACTCTTGTTCTCTCCAGATTGTCCCCTTGGCACTGACTGACCTTGCCCTCTATGCCTCTGGGATTCCTCTGACTTGCCGACGTCGGTCCTGGATGCACACACACCTCCTTGAAGGGTGGACTGTATTTTTCGGTCCTGGATGCACACACACCTCCTTGAAGGGTGGACTGTATTTTTACTCTGAGACGGATGAATTTGGTACATATTGTGAAACTTATGGGCACAGACACTTCTGTGCATTTTTCACCTGTGCTCCAGGAAGACCCAGGGTTCTCTGGGTCACCTTTACCATCTCGCCAGCTAGTACTTGCCATTTCCCAGCAGATAAATCCCGCAAATAGCTGAGTCCGATGAAAGTGCTGTGTGAGCCATGGGATTTTCACCTGGCAGAGATCTGCTCTAAGCTGGGGGTCTCCAGACACCTGGGTCATCTCCAGAACCCCTCCTTGCCCCTCCTCCCATTTAGAAGAGCAGGTCAGCTCCTCAGACTCCCATCACTGCCTGGATCTGACTCAGTCTGCTTGGTTCACCCAGAGGTCATGTGGCTCCACTCCAGGCCCATCTCTTGGGTCACTTTGGCCAGCTGCATGTGTCACTTCCGCATTAACCTCTGATTCGGTGGTTTTTAACTTCTTGGAATGAGAGACCCTTTTGGGGACAGGATTAAGGCTGTGAAGTCTCTCCCATCATGGTACTGTTCATGTCCTTGAGACTTTGTATATTGATGTCAGAGAATTCATGGACTCTCTGAAGCCCTCAGACCAAGACAGACAGACCCAAGGGTCCTGTTGGCAGGAAGCCAGGGTCCCCGGGGAGGCCCAAGGCCCCAAATCATTTCAGAAGAAACTGAAGCCCTAACAAAGTGACATTTCAGGAGACCTCCCACAGAATGGCTTCTTTCCCTCTTTCCGTCTCAAGAATTCCTTTTCTAGGCAACTGTTTCTTCCTTGTTGAAAAGTCAGATCTAAACTTTACCACTATACCCTAGCTTCATATCGGGCAAGCTGAAATGGCACATAATTCACAGCTTAGTTCTCCTTTCTCTTGTACTCTCTCTCTCTGTGTCCCTCTCTCCAACAGCCCCTCCCAGGCAGCACCTGCCCCTGACCCCATTTTGCTTTGTCTCAAGCCAGGGCTTAGCTGAGCACCAGACCCTGAGATGGCTCCAGAAGAGGTGCGTGGTAGATGATACACTCTTGGGGAGTTGAAAGCTGGCTCGTCATGTCACCTCGTCATCCAGGGGAGACCATGGATGTTCATGATCTCAGAAAAAGAGCCTCTGAGGGCAAGAGTGGGTAGGAGAAGCAGAGAAACCCTAGGAGAAAGGGAAGGGTGGGCAACCCGACTGAGAATTCCCTCTGCAGATTCCAGATCCTGAGTGCTGCCATATCCCCGCCCCCATCTCCCCTTTTCCAAAAGTGGGTGATAGAGAAGGCTGTGGACTGCAGACTCTGGGCCTGGCTGGAGATGCCGAGAGGCCTCTGTGTGAAGGGGAAAGATGGGAGAGCTGGAATCTCTGGGGGCCAGGGCAGGCCAGGGGCCTGGGAAGATCCTTGTGGAAGGCCCAGGACACGGGGTGGCCAGGGCTCAGAAGAGTGAGAGCAGGCGCCTCGCCAGAGAGGGGTCCAGCCAGCCCACAGGGTGGCCCAGCCATCCAACGTGCCTTTAGATGAAGAAAGCTGCTTAATCTCCCCCTGGAAATCAGGAAGTTGGAACCCACACAGCTGATTACGGGACCAGAGGAGTGATTTCAGAGGAAAGATGAAAAGAATTAAAGTCAGCTCAGGAGGGAGCAGAGGAGAGAGAGCTGGGAGGTGGGAGCATATGCTGAGGAGTTTTTCTGCAAAGCCCCTGCACCCTGAACCCGGCTGGGAGCTCTTGTAGGAGCAGGTGGGGGGCTTTGCTGAGG